AGGAAGGGTTTGGCAAACCCCTTAAGCTCTCGGACAGGTCTCAATATCGTACTCTCCGGGTCGTGAACATAGACCTGAACGACCTCTGATCCGTCGTAAGGACCCGTGTTTTTCACGTCAACCAAGACCTTCATCTTGTGATCTTCCATCGCCTCAAAAGTCTTTGGCACTTGGAGCTTCGAGTACTCGAACGTTGAGTAGGACAGGCCTTGACCAAAGTAGAAGAGTGGGTCTCTGTCGACTGATTCGTAGTAGCGGTGGCCGATGAAGACTCCCTCGCCGTAAACAATGTCATAGTCAGACTTTGAGAATGAGAGGTAAGCCGGAGTATGTTTAATGGACACGGGAAATGTCTGAGACAGGCGGCCGGAGGGATTGGCTCTGCCAAACAGAACGTCTGCGAGACCATGGCCTGTCTCCTGACCGCCGAACCAAGCGTGGACCAAGGTAGCTACTTTCGACTCCCATGGCATCTGTATTGGGCAGCCTGACTGGGTAACAATGACCTGTGAAAATTGATTAGCATCGGAAACATACGACTCATATCGGCTCGTGCGCATTTCATGAGACAGAAGGCCACTCACAGCGTTTGGATTAGCTTGAAGCACAGCTTCGATCAGATCATCCACGCGGCCCGGCAATCTGAGGTGTTTGCGGTCGGCTCCTTCGTACTCGAAATCCGATGACAGTCCAGTAACAACAATTGGTATATCAACACTCTTGGCCAAGTCCGCAGCTTCTTTAATGAGAACGTCCTCATCAATGAGCTCGAATCCACCGATGCGTCCTGCAAGGGTCAATGCGGTACCAACGCCCCCTGAAAGATCTTCGTTGACTTGAACAACTTCAAGTTCGAGAGTTCGGCCTTCGACCACATCCGTATTGCAGAATTTCTCCATGGAAAGCCTGTTGAAGCATGGCGTAGGCCCGGTCTTTGGAGGCTGGTCGCTCCATAAATCGATGAGCTCTTTCCCATCTACCCTTAGTTTGCCCTTACCCGATGTACTGAAGCCGAATTTAAAGGGGCCTGTGACAGAAGGCGTGTAGGTCGCCCGGGCTCTGACGTAGAATTTCTTCGGAAGCGATGCGTGGAAACTCTCTGGCACATCAATGAGCTCTTTCTGGGCATGGGCCGTTAGAAGCACTTCGGCGTCGGGATTCTCGTCTGGGTTGTCTTCAAAGATCTCGACCGACCACCCAAAGCCTTGATGTTGCGATTGCTGAGGCGCTAGGTTCTTCAACAGTGGGCTGAACCTGAAAGCTGTGAAAAATGTCAATGATAGCTCCAAACAACTTGGAGGGAATCTTACAATGACAGCCAAGCGCATACGACACATTCTCCTTTCCCGCGGCCTCAATAATGGCATCATAGGGTGTCACGGAATAGTACGGCTCAACTTCCGCACTGCCACCGCCGCTCAGGGCAGGATTCTTAATGTGGTCGCCAATCAATCCGATTTTTTTCCCCTCTGATTTCATAATGGGGAGCACCTTGCGTTCATTCTTGAGCAAGACGATACTCTCAGCCACCAGCCGGCGAACCAGAGCTTGCTGCTCGGGTGTATTCGACGCCGCGAAATAGCTAGCCGGTTTCGTATCCTTGACCTTATTCACCAGATTGAGAATATTCCTGACAGCCTCATCAACTGTCGTACGCGCGACTTTGCGGCTGTTGACAGCTAGACTCAGACACTTGCCTCTCCATTGCGTGGGCCCAGGCATCTCCAAGTCCAGCCCAGCGTTGATGGCTTCAGAGGTGCTGTATGTACCAAACCAGTCGCTCATGACGAGTCCCTTGAAGCCCCATTCATCTCGAAGAACCTGCCTCAGGAGTAGAGGGTCCTCGCTAACGTGAATTCCATTGATCTTATTGTAAGAGGTCATAAAGGTCCAGGGGTCAGAGTCGCGCATTACGAGTTGAAATGGCATGAGTTGGATTTCTCTCAGGGTCCGCTGCGTCATGCACACATTGTCTTCGATGGAATTATCTGACTGGTCGTGTGCGGCATAATGCTTGACGCTGGTTGCTACACCTCTCTCTTGCACGCCATTGATGTAGGCTGCTCCGAGGATGCCGCTCAGGAAGGGATCTTCGGCGAACGCTTCGAATCCTCGTCCAAACAATGGCGAGCGTTGAAGACAGATAGTAGGCGCCAGCAACACATGGACTCCTCTAGCCCTTGCTTCCTCTCCAAGAAGATTGCCGACCTTGTGCAATAATTCGGCGTTAAAGGTTGCGCCCATACCAGTGGCGGAGGGTAGCATAGGGCTCGGGTTCTGAAGATTGGAAGCATTTATCAGCACTGTCATTGGAGCCTAAAGCACATGGTCACACTAGAAGACTTCCTATCCCCTTGACCAAATGAGGAGTTAAACTGACACGTGCAAATGATCGACGCCCTCGAATACCGTGAGGTCCGTCTGAGGTCTGCACAGGAGGTTAGTCAGATGTACCTGTTCTCGCTGAGGTAGAGTGTCAACTTACAATGAGATCTGGAATTTGGCGATGAGGTAGACCGGTCGTTCGGAAAGATCCCTGACCAGCGAGCAGCTCGATCTTCTCGTCCCAGGTAAGTTGCTCGATCAACGCCTCGACGTCGAGGGGTGTGAATTCGGCCGCCATCTTGATAATTTGGCCTGTTTGGTTCAAATACCGAGAGACAGGAGAGAGGTTGAAAAGTCCGGTAGTTACGGGCTGAAGCCAAACTTCAAGTAGCCTTCCGGTCAATGTTATGCGGTGTCATCTGGGGATTTGGTCGGCACAAGCCCGATTTCGAAGCACAAAAACCGCCGAAATACTGTCCTTCCCCGTAGGATGAGCGGGCCGTCTCGGAGTATCGTCGGTAAACGTGACAGAGTCTCCTGTCACGCGTGAGCAAAAGTTGCCTTGATTCGTTCACTTCGGTGCAATCGGCGCATTTAGGCTAAATCCGCAGCAGCCGGAACCCTGTCCGGAGACTTCCGGAGACTTCCGGAGTCCACGGGGCCCCGCAAATACCACATCCGATCCAGTCCCGGGACCAGGCGCTGACTCCGCTCTGCAAAATGCGGGGATTTATATCACCGGAGCAGCGGTGATAAATTCGGATTCACGATACGGCCGTGCTTTTACCCATCCTTATGTCATGAGAAATCGACCCCGGAGTAAGTAAGCAAGGTCTCATGACAAGGAGAATGAAGCGCATTTACTGGATTGGAATGAGTTGTCATCTCAGATGGATTCCCGCCATCATTGAACATCATGGAGCGTAGTACAAATGGAACGAGACGATGTTCAATAAGCAAACCCGTCAACTATCTGCTGCAATAACCTCCAGCAAGGTCTACATTGGCAAAATCGCAATGTTGGTCACCCGGCGGCTGTGAGTATCTGCGAAGCCCCATATGGATTTGATAGATAGAAGCTCAATCGCAGGTGCTTAGTGTTTGCCTCTTGACACTTCAATGTTGTTGTAGTTCTACGGACAGCCGCATGAGTTGAAACGTCGAGGCTGTTACACAATCACCAAATCACCAATTGTCACATTGATCAGTTCTCGAAGTTGCCTCCTTGAAATGTTACCTCCGTGCCCTCATCTAGAAGTTCGTCATTATTTAAGTCCTATTTAACAGCGAGTATTTCCCTTACTCTGTCCCTAAAACGCGTACGATTCTTCGGCCCCTCAACGACCATCCTCCCTAAGGATGTCAGACTCATCGGATGATGATGATGATGATGACGGTTCAGACTTCGGCGATCAGCCAGGAACCAACTGTCAATCACACGCAGATACTAACGATGATTCCGATATGTCTCCCTTGTTGGACTGGAATGATGGCTCTGATCGGGATGCCCTGATGGGCCGTTTTTCTCTCGCTTAAACAGGCAGCAGATATGCCCCTAGTCGAGAAAAACAAAGCCAGCGAGTTCAATACCAGCATCAAGCCAGCCGGACTGCCGATATTCCCGAGCTCTATCTAGTTGACAGCCGAGGGAACTCTAGGGAATACCGTCTCGTTCCTGCAAAAGTCGAACCAGGTCAAGAGGTCGAAGATCCGAGGCACGGTTTAGAATGCATCGAAGATTCCAGGAATCAATCGAGCCATCAGTTCCCACGTCCCCAGGCGCCATATTCATTCACGCTTTTTTAAGGTTCCATTGGTTCCACAATTAAATCGATGGAAGATTCTCCTGAAATCAGGAGCGCAGAATATACCATATTCTTTACATTAATGCTGGTAGTTCTCGTCTTCGTTATGGTAGGCCACTCGACCAGAGCTTTCTTCCTCCCTATGCCGTGATGCCATGGCAACACTCAATCCGTGGTATCCACTACCAGTAGGTACCCCAAAGAATAACGAAATACTGACAATCTTTAATTACAGATTACTATATTTCCTCTTCCATAATCATGCGCCTGTGTTTACGAAGGTCGTAGGGCCATGGGAACCACGTGTCGTGGCTCAACACAACCACTGACCACATCGCGCATCCAAAACACGCAAAGGCAGAGACGATAGCCAGCACTGGTTTTGGACCGATGAACATAGAATGGTACCTCTGTTGTCTATCTCAGAGCAATCAAGTTTCTGCGATACTCGTGCCTGCTAGTAATAGATTCTGAATCCCAAGCAAGTAGAACAATGGCTGAGAGATGTGTCAACTCTACGTCTTCTCGGGTGCAGGAAGGGCTCGAGGCACGAACCAGGCTCCTTCGGTGTGACATGGAATTAATATGCGAGAACCCATGTCTGTTTGCGTTGTTATCACACAAGTGGCTGCATTTTGTGCGACCATGAACCTGCTGTTGATTGTGCTCTGTGCCACCACCCTTGAGAGAATCTGGAAAACATTTGAGCAAGTGGCCTCATATGAAGCCGTTTTCCCCTTCATTACCACACCAACACCAGGATTGTTACTCGAACACTGAACTCCATTACCCGGCATCTAAATTTGTTTCTGGGAAGACCGCAGGCCCAGTTCACAGTCGATCAACGATCGCAACGACTTGAACGCAACAATGTCTGATACGTACGACTTAGATTATGATTCATGCTCGACTTTACTGGACTGTCCACTAAATTTTGAAGCACTTTCTGCTCCCACATCAACCTATGGAACGTTGCCTACCCGAAAGAAAAGATCCTCGCGGGGACGCACGGATTCGTTCCGACAAAGCTGGGCCGCAGGGCCATCTAGTGTGAACTCTCCGGAGCTCTACTTTATCGATACTGAAGGAATCGCCCACAGATACAGATTACTTCCAACGGATATTGAAGTCGGCCAGAGAACTTTCACTTCCTCTCCTGATCCCTCTCACCACGTGTCGGAGAGTGCGGAGCTGTGTGCTTGGGTGATGTTCATCATTTTGGTCGTTGTCGCAATCGTGTGCTTGACCTCCTCAGATCCTCAGCTCGGATGGTAGAGTCTATGTATGTAGAAGTGGAAGGTGAGCTCCATACACGTGCGGTTGTTCTGATAGTTCAATCGCCTAGATGCAAAGAGCCAGGTACCCTATAAGTAGTAGAGAACCTACGAAACATCCGAGGAGACTCTTACTAGCCTCAAGCGTAACAATGGCAGGTATTGATAAACAGTAGACAGGAATCGGACCCGGGATCCCCGGGACCCATGCGTGAAGAGCACTTCGTTCAGATACGCTGATATTCTCCGATATGCCATGGACCTTCGTGACAGACTGAAGCACTTTTAGTCATGATGTAGGCATTGAGGCTGGGTAGAAATGAAATAAACGGAATAAACTCAATGTACTATGGGGGTGCCAGAATGAGGACAAAATGTGACATGTTTACTAGTTTAGCCAAATAGGATTTACATCTCCTTCGTCCCCGAGATCTGGGCCGACTTGTCGTTCAATCCACTCACCTGAGCCTCCGATTCGGCAATTTTAGCGTTCTCCTCATCTGACAAACCCTGGGCATTCATGGCAGGCCCGTATCCGTACTCGGCCATCTCCGGATGCCGCCTATCCCACCATAACATACCCAGCTGAACCAAGATTGTTGCTACAGTGAACGCAGTTGTCAGAGGGAAACCGATGGGATGCCTCGGAGCGTCTGCAACACGGAACGCCCCAAGAGGTATAGTCGCGTGGCCAACGTAGACAACGGTGACAGTCAATGCCACGATGATTGATCGAGCCTCGGGCTCTTTGCGTAGAATCTCGGCCATCCATGCCATGAGTGACGGGCTACCAGCGTTGGTGCCATACGTGAGAAAGTAAAAGGCGAGAATGACTTTATGATCAGATGGCCACCCGCACAGAACGGCTAGACAGATGCCGTGAGCGGCGGCAGAGAAGACGCTTATCTGCCAACGCCAACGCTTCCAGTCGGAAAGCCAGTTGAGACCAATATTAGTGACAATCTGCAAGGCGTACCCGCCAAGGGGCAGGATATTGACTTGATACGTATCGTAAACGCGGTTGCCAGCTGAGTCCTTGATGCTTTCGAGGTACAACACAAAATACGAATTCGCCCGATGAGCCCAAGCCCCAAAGGCAAATGAGAAGAGATAGAAATACGTGACCGGGTGAACAATGAGCTTTCGCAGCTTTTGGCGGAGCACCGATGCCGGAATGCGCTTGGATGTGTTGACGCCGGAGTTACCCATCCTTTCGCGAGCCAGGCGCTTCTCATTCTCGGTGAGATAGATGGCGCGTGTATTCGCTGGCGAGTCTGGCACGGTGACGAAGGCAATGAGACCCTGGCCAACTGTGACGGAACCGGCGATAATGAAGAGCCATTGCCAGCCAGCGAGACCGTGAACGCCGTTCATGTCCCGGAATAGGGCAGCTTGGAGAGCTCCGAGGAACATCGCGCCGGCGACATCGCAGACTGTGAAGCAAGCAACTCGGACGGCGAGCTCGGCAGGAGTATACCAGTTGAAGATGAGGGCGACGACGCTAGGCCAGAATGCGGATGAAAAGAGGCCGAGGAAGAATCGGAGTCCAAAGATGGTTTGCGCATTAGGGGCTTTGTATGTGCTAAGCTAGTGGTCAGTTGGTGTGCACTGGGGAAGACATTGGTAGAGACTTACAAGAGCACCAGTAGTCCCCAACTCATCTCACAGAATGGGAGAAACATTGACGGCCGGAACCTCGTCTGAATCAACTGCCCAGGTACCAAGCCCAGTGCATATCCAATAGAGAAAAAGGTATTGAATTCAACAAGCTCATTACCGTATAGGCTCAAGGACTCTCTCATCCCCGAGACGTAGGCTTGGGTTGTGGCAGACTGGTCCATCTCCTTCATGATGCCTGCCAGGAACATCCATGCAAGCAACATGACATCTAGCTTGAAGACTAGGACATTGCTAGGGTTGCGGAAGTACGGAATGAACTTTGAAATGTGTTTAAAGATGCCTTCTTGTGGGGGCCCATAGTTGATGGATTCCTCGGCTTCTGGCCGGGGTGCCGACAAAGTCACTGATGTGGCTTCACCCATCGTGGCTTCAGTGTCATTTGCCAGCAAGCAATGTTTAAAGACCAGCGGAACACAAGGTGGAGATGATCTGGTGAGCGAGATAGAGTCCCTTCTGGCAAAAGACGTAGTGCTGATTCATGGCTATATAAACAGCCAGCTCGGCTGTATTAGCTAACGGTAATCATCAATACGACTCAAGTCACCAAGGAAAAATTGGATGAATCCTTCCGAATGAAGTGATTTTCGATGTCGCGATCCAAAAAGATTGGCATACCGCGCCCAGCGTGCATTTGTTCAAGGACGCCAAAGTCTGGGCAATATCCACCAGAGGTCGACCAAACGTTGCATCTCTTGCCTCCTCCCATGCTGCTGGTCCAATCACTGGTGGCGACGGAGGCCGCGGTGGTGAGAGCTGGCGAGAGACCGGGGTGTTCTGTCGGGGTCGGGCCCAGATAAGCCCCTGCCAACCAGCAATTGCGTGACCGGAGATCCAGACTGCGACATCTCCCACCCGTGCTTAGTGCCCGAGAGACGGTCGATATGCCACCCGCTTTTAGTAATTTTTGTCGGGATAGCGGCGACGGTGCGGTCATGTGGGTTCTAAGAGGCTAATTATTGGACCCTGACGATCCTTCGTCGGCCCTTCCCAGAAGCAGCAGCAGGAGCTGTTGTGAATTGCCAAAGATTGAACCTTGAGTAGGAGACGTCTTTTCAGCCCCGAGATTCTTGATTTCTACCCGCGGGTAAGAATGGTTCAGAGCCTATGCCTGAATTCGCTCATCTAGGTACTTCATCTTATGCTAAGACTTCCTCATCGGTCAGCAGCATAGTGTCAGATCCAAAGGCGAATGTTCAAAAATCTTGCCAAAAGTCGATAAACGTGAATGTCCCCAAACTTTCGGACACAAAATCATACAAGTAGGCGAAACATCCTTCGATGGGGCAGGTCTTCATTTCCGGAGGTATGCTGAGTTGAATACATGCTTCCCATTCAATTGGGATTATCGAGCATGTTAGCTGGGCCGAGAAATAAGGGACCTTCCAATGCTGCTGGACTACGCGGTCAAATGACTTCAAAGCTCTCTGTCGGCATTCAGAGAAGACTGCAGCGTCTTTGTGATAGTTGACAGAAAATATTGACCAAAACTGAATCATGAGGATATCATCGCCAAAGTCGCGTTGTGAGAATGGAAAGATCGCAACTTGTCTTGCACTGCTCGGGCCTAAGAAACCCGGCTTTTCCGACGAGGCCTGAGCGAAGGGATAGAGAAGACACGCAGCGATGTTCCAAAGTGGTACGAGTTTGCTCCGTGGAGGCGTCCATATTCGTTTTTGCGAGGAGCGCTTGTCTCAGATCCACGCGGCCAATTCGAGCCAATGATCCGTGGCTAAGACATTGGATATCCCAGCGGCGCTGAAGTATCACAAAGCGTAAACAAAACTTCGACCACAAAATTCCAGTATGAGTACAGACACGATCAAGACCGTTTGCCTTGTTTCACAAACTTATCACACCTATCAAACCGGGCTGGTATTCTGTCAGGCTCGTGGGTCTCGGGTCAGGCCAAAAGAAGGATGCTCATACTCTGCTTGATGCAAGCTTAGGCTAGGTACATCGAGGCTCGAGCTGGACACAGTAGAGGGTCAGGGGTGATTCAGAGAAAAGCAAAGAGGTTCACGTCTTCACGGGTTGTGTAATTTCTTTTGCCCGTCGCCAAGCAAGAAGAGTATTCACCCGTGCCGCCACAGCGGGATTCTGTTGAATGCCCAACTCCTTTCAGAGAGTCAAAGTGCTTATTCGCCTATCACTTGTCAATGTCACAGCTAGCGCGTGTTGGCGACCACGGTGGGCTCCCCACCATCAACCCCATTCGCCGTTGACTAGCTCGACGTGCAAGCTGACCATGCGAACTCAAGACACTTGTCTCTTGATTGCCTCGCACAAGAGCCGGGAATCCCGGACAGGCGCATGTTCTGTGCAAGGGGCACGTGGAAAGCCACAAACCGTTCTTCGCTTGAAATATGCGGCACGCCTCCTCGTTGTTGCACCAGGCGCGATTCGAAAGGTAATCATCTGCCGACCTTCATCGATCTTCTCATATTCGCCGTCCAATGTGAAGCCAAGAACGAATTTCTGCGCTCGACTGCTTCAGTGCCAATTGCTTGTCAACTTTCCAATCCAACTCAACAGTAATTATAAGGTGATCAGATGGCACTTAGCGGCTGGTCTGGGCATTCGGCTCTTGTTGAAGACGGCAAGAAGCGGGAGCTGGCGCCGCCAGAAATTGCGGTAGTCGATCGATCCGACAACAGGCCTTCCGGCACATACGTAGCGATTCCTATTTCGACGGAGCCCATGGCCTCCAGGAACAAACGATCGTGGTTCCGGCGATACTGGATTTTCGTGCTGGCAATGGCGATCCTCATCGTTGGTGGCATCATCGCCGGAGCCGTTGGAGGAATTGCTGCTTCTCACCAGGCAGAACAGAGGGGTTCTGATTGAGCCTGTGAAGAACAAGAGGAAATTTGAATCGAATTTGCAGAACTGCGGGCTATGTAAGTCATTCGAATGAACCGCCCGGCTTATGACATCGTTTTTGACAACTTGAAAACAAATGACTGACCGTATCATCGGATTGCCAGATCTCAAGACCTTGATTCCATACGATACCCCGAACTCTAGCGATTATCTCGCAACATCTTTCGAAGTGGCTCATCAAAACAAAGCCACCTGTATTCCCATAATTCTTTTCGAATGCTAGATGATCTTCGACAGTCGGACGGATCAATCCAGGCATGCTGTGGTAAGGGCAACGGAGGTCGACGTTTCTCCCCGGGAGAGAACGGATGGATGTCTTGTTTCTCACTTGGCACAGAGAAACTAGCCCATAGTTGACACGGCACTGGCGACCGGGACGCTATCGAAGCCGCAAAACATTGAAAACGATGTTGGGCTACTCCGGGCGAAAGGAGGTTGAGCTACCATGGCAGGCATATTTGCTGCGGAAACTTGCAAGTTGTTCATGATTCTGCGGTTTGAGGCACACATCGACGATTGGACGGGCCGGGACACTGCCCCATGTCCGTCTCGGGATCGCATTACTAGAAGATTACCAGATGCCATGTCGTTGCACAGACCCAGTAAACTCGGCACTCTGCCGACGCGGGTCTGTGGCCGCTACATACCCGAGGTAGCGCTAATGAAACCTAAGTAGAGTCGAAGTGGTATTCGTAGGCTGCAGAAGAACTGCTCTTCTGATCAAATAGTCAATCTGAATAAAAGTAATGCTAACGACCAATCCCAAGCGAAGGAAAGGCAGTGTCAGCACCAGCGTATGGGTCTATGTCAGTGTCACATGGGGTTTCAAGCCGGATGGACCTGTGGCTTCGGACGACCGGCGGACGAGATAACAGATCTTGAGGATGGGAACCATTCTTGACGGGTTGATTGAGATGACGGATAGGAATTGCATCCGTGATTGATAATTTTGGAACTAGATTTACAACGCATCCCTGTGGAAGGTGCCCGATGGAGGACATCGACAACTCACCGAGGCCCCATTTTGGCGCTTAAAAGCAGAGGCGGCCGCCCTGGATGCGGGGAATTCTGGGGAAATAGCGTGAATGACCCGCGGCCCGGCCGCAAGGGTCTGGGCCGGTGAACTTTATTCCGACTTGGCAAGGAGTGAGGTTTCGGTAGTTACATTGATCCCATTGTTGAGATGAATGGCAATGGTTCTATCACTGTCTTGAGAAAGATATCGTCTGATGATTCTTCGTATAAGACGTAGCTGGGACGTGCTGGGATTCGACTCTTACATTACTGCAATCCTGACCGGCATACAAGACTCAATTCACTACCATCAACTCCTCGACTCTCCAAAGCAATGGCTCCTGGTCGAACAGACGACGAGACGGCTGAGGTCTCTACCTCTTCCAAGGCAATTTCGAATTATGGGCTGAACACAAAGTGGCCGGAGGCCTACGATCTCGCTGGATCCAATCTACCATGTCGTCTGGAGGGTGAAATTGGCGACCTGGTAGTCCTGGGAGAAATCCCAAAGGAGATCGATGGGACCTTTTACCGAGTCATGACGGACCCCTTCGTGCTGCCCCATCCCAACAACGTTCCCCTTGATGGCGACGGCAACATTTCAGCATTCCGTATCAAAGACGGGAGAGTCGACATGAAGATGCGCTACGTCGAAACCGAGCGTTACAAGCTCGAGCGCAAAGCCAACAAGGCTTTGTTCGGCCTGTACCGCAACCCTTTCACGCATCACCCATGTGTTCGCGCCGCGGTAGATTCCACGGCTAACACCAATGTCGTGCTGTGGGCCGATCACTTTCTCGCCCTGAAAGAAGGAGGTTTGCCCTATTCTGTGGACCCGCAGACCTTGGAGACCATCAAGTACGATCCCTTTGGGCAAATCAAGGCAAAGACGTTTACGGCTCATCCCAAGATCGATCCGTACACGAATGAGCTCGTAGTATTCGGATACGAGGCCAGAGGTCTCGCCTCGCTGGACATTGTCATGTACGCGCTGGACAGTCAGGGTGTGAAGCATGACGAGCAGTGGATCAAGTCGCCGTGGTGTGCACCGATACACGACTGTGCCATCACGCCAAACTGGATCATCCTGGCACTCTGGCCATTCGAAGCCAGCGTGGAGCGAATGAAGAAGGGAGGACATCACTGGGCCTGGGACTATGACCTTCCTGCCACCTTCATTGTTGCTCCCCGTCGGAGTTCGACCAAGCTTCCACCTGGCTGGCAGCCGGGCGAGAGTCGGGTGTACTCATGGAAGAACTGTATGCTCATTCACACGGGTGGTGCGTGGGAAAGCGAGGATGGGGAGACGCTGTTCATGGAAACGACTCGTGTGCACGACAATGGGTTCCCATTCTTTCCTACAAATGAAGGGGTGTATCCTGCTCCTGATCCCAAGTCCGACTACGTCCGTTGGACTTTTGATCTCTCCCAGCCCACAAACAGTAAGGTTCCAGATCCGGAAATAATCCTCGACATGCCCGCAGAATTCCCTCGGCTTGATGAGCGTTTCCTGTCGAAGCCTTACAACTACGTCTGGATAAATGTTTACATTCACGAGGACCAGAACGGAGATGGTCACACCATTGTCGATGGACTCAATGGCCTAGCGATGCACAACTCAAAGACGAAGGAAACCCAGTGCTTCAACGCCGGAACTGAGTCATTCTGTCAGGAGCCGATCTTCATACCGCGAAGTGATGACGCTCCGGAAGGAGACGGGTGGGTTATGACCATGGTCGAGCGCAGAGGTGCCAACAGAAACGAGATCGTGGTACTGGACACGAAGAACTTTGAAAAGCCTATTGCAGTCATCCAGTTGCCATTCCACGTCAAAGCACAGGTCCACGGAAATTGGGTCGACCAGCGCCGGTTGAAGGTGTGGGAGAAGCTGGCGAGAGATGCAGTGCCTCAACCCATCAGCGGTCAAGGAGCATTGGAGCCGTTGTAGATTTAGCCACCAATATCATATCTGCTTCCACGACCGTTTATATGAAACTATGGTGATATTGCAGTTGCGGTGTATGTTTGAGGTGGTTTGCGAAAAAACTCAGTAATTAAGGGAGTTGTCATGTCTACATGTCAGACCATCTTCCTTCGAGGCTTCGCCGATATTCTGATCCTGGAGCCAATTCAGCAGGACCACAGATGTGGACTCTAGCCAGTACCGCAGTAATCAGCATACTGCTTTGAACTAGATTCCGGGTTACCCCACCACTGCAAACATGTCAGCGTCATCTTCAAACCTGTGTTCAGTTATAGACTGCTTACCGTAGGAAAAGGCACCTCTTTGCCTGAACCGCCGGCAACGGCAAAGGTCAAGATGAACATCATGACCTTGGCACCTGCATCGAGGCCACCGCCGATGATGTAGTTGTACTTGCCAAACCAAGCAGGATGACGCAACCGCATATACCACTGAGACCACAAGCCGACCACGACTTGAGACCAGATGACAGAAGTAGTTCCGGATGTTGTCTCAGAGGCATTGTGGAATATGACAGGGGTAATGAACTTGCTCACTTCCCAGCCATAAATGGTCTTGTACTTCTTGGATACAAGCCACAGGACAACAGGAATAGCAGCCCCAACGACGATAGAGAGAGGGATCCTAGAAGCAGTCCAATGTCAAAAGACGTAAAAAGGCCTGAAGGTTTCTGAGAGGTACTCACCACCCATAACCATCTTTATCAAATCCATAGACGTACTTGGCAAGCGACCAAGTGACTGCAGTTGTATTCAGAGACTGGATCTTGCGTCCGCTCCACTGGTCTTGTATTAGATCTGATGACAGGGATGTCAGCTGAAGGCAACTTACAACTTGGGTGCCGATCGGGTCAAGGAGAATCTCTCGACGATTCGCCACAATTGTGTCCATTATAACGTAGTTCAACGCTGTTCCAAACAAACTCCCCCAAGTTTGCAGGATGAACATAGTTCTCCATGGAATTTTGAGATATTGAGCCATCTTGAGGTCAGTTGACAAGAACACGGAGAGGACAGTAACCTCATGACTAAACATCGAGAAGTAGAGATTGGCGACGGGTTTTCCGGGTTGAAGTACGCCACACAACATCTTAGAGAGGTTGTTCGTGGCGACGCTAGTGCCGAGCAAGCCGTACAAGCATAGCGAAAATGGTGCAACAATGCATCCGAGCAGCTGAATAAACGGTCAGTATTATTCTGGAAAGTCATCAAGAGGCAAGGCAAACTCACAATGGCGCAAACGTATGCCCAGGCATCAAGGGTGGTGTGGCCCTTGATAACAGCTCCAAGACCAGTGAAGAAGCCAACAAGAAGGATGGCGACGTACCACCAGATCGGGACGTCTTTGTAGTTTTCTTGCATGATTTTGTAGTGAATGTCTGTCTCCTCCTTCTTCCAAGCTTGTTTCAACGATCGCTTGATGCTGCTTGGGTCAGAAATGCTCCAGCCAGAACCGGGTTGATTTGCGAACTTACAGTGGTCCGTAGAATAGAGCTATGTGGGTGAGCAGCGCTCCTATAGCAGCCATCGCCGCCATATTTGCCCAGACGTTGGACGCCGTCAATCGCGGAAGCCCATGTACTGCCAACGCCTCAGTGTCCAGAATTGCGTTTTGCCCAAATACGGCCGTCTGGTTGTAGACCTTGCCAGTCTTCCCGTCAAACATGGCCGTCGACATGAACGGGAACTTCTTGGCGCCCCATGCCCCGCCATAGTAGAGGCTGAAGCACATGATGTAGGAGAGCACGATGCCCACCCAGGAGTTGGCCTGTTGCAGGAGCGGCAGGGACATGTACCGCGACGTGATATACTGCCAGTCCAGGGAAAAGTTGAAGATGCCCTGGCCCTCGTTGGAGTTGATACCGCCAAATATTGTCATGAGGACCTTCCGAGTTGGCGGCGAGGCCTTCATGGAGGCGAGACAGGGGACGGAGATGCCATTCAGCCAAGGCCAGATGTAGGATGCTATGGGCTCCCATATGAACATGCCGATGGAGGTGAAGCCGAACATTCGGAGCCTGTCTTTGTTGTTGCCTTCGGGCTCCCGGTGGAGAGTCTGGTAGATGGAGATCATGGGTAGGCATTGCCACCAGACCATTTCACTCGCTGCCTTTGGTCAGTATATGTTTTCTCCTCTAGTGGCTTGGAATATCCTCGGAAAGTGACTGACGGTGGACAATGATGGATCGTAGGATGCCTACGAGGCCGTACCCGAAGATCGAAGCCGAGAAAACTGTCAGAATTGCCGTGGCAGGATCTGTGGTGCGGTTGTAGAACCTGACCATCGGTCAATATAGAGCTAGATGAAGACTCAATTCCACACTCACAGCCGTTCTGCGCCAAAGACTTGCACGATTGCAGCGCCATTTCCGCTTGATGTGGAAAGAATTGATGCGACGGCATGTTCCTTCAAGCCAAAGTGACCAGGATTGATAAAGTGAACGACTGGTCCTAGCCATCTTGCTTGCGATGGTAGGTACTTCTCAACATGCTGCCGTCGAGGGAGCACAACTGACCAGGCAACTCCGATCACATATGCCATTAAGCAAAGGAACCCGGGGCAAATCATCAGTATATGGTCAAGGCTCTGACTCTGTATAATAAAGCAGCTTACACCGAAGCAAAAGAGACATCGACGGGCTTGTAGAAGTAACTGCGCATAGTTTTGTCAGCGCGAAACATCAGAAATTGGCTCGGGTTCTTGTCACATTTGATTGATGCAGGCTGCAAGGGCGGTTAGGCCTGTACGAAGTTCGTCAGTGGGAGCCTCAATTGTCTAGAATTACTGCAACATGAAGAGTCATACCAGAGCCGATGATGAAAGACCTAAAAGTGCAAGATACATCACCATCGTCTTGGGTATTGACGACGTATCTGGCGACATCGTTGCCTTCAAAAGTCAGCCTATGTTCAGCACTCTGCGCTTTAGACAAAGGCCCTCTGGCTTTGCATACCATCCCTAATCACGACTCCGCCGTTGACGAGCTTTCTTTCGTCATCTGATTCGTTTCGCTCAGGATCTTTCGTCTTCAATCCGTCATCCGACTTGTCGTCCTCCAGGAGCGGAGGAGCCTCATTCGAAGCACCGGCTGCACGGTTTACGGCCGAGAGAACGTCTGTATCCAAAGCAGTCGCAGTAACAGCCGTAGAGTCCTTTAAGACAGTCGCGCTCTTCCCGGAATCTGCCATGTTGACAGAAGCGAGGAGGTAGTCGAGAAAACCAAGTTCCGCGGATTTCGTATTTCACAAGCTTCTCTCGGTTCCTTATATCACCCATGCAAGTTTATCTTTCAAGACGCGCTATCCAGGCCCGCAAGTCCTCTCTTATCACGTCAACGGGGTCATTCCTTAATTCCGGCAAAAGTCCACTGACTTAAGGCAGCCAAGCCCTCGGTATCGGTGAAGGCAAGGTCATGGTCTGCCGGTCGTTCCAAGGCCGTGGCACCTCGTCCGAGTGCGGACATTCAGTTTTACGTGATGTCGGCCTGCCGCCGACACATGGCCAGAACAACCCGCGGCTAAATGGGGTTGGGTGCCGCTCCAAAAAAGTCTTTCCGGTAATACCTGAATGACGCGAGATCCGCCCGGCCAGTCGCCATCGTGCCTCGCCCCACAGAGCCCGGTTCGGCTCCGACTTGTCGGGGTGGCCCTGTTGTCAACGAGATGCCAAGAAGCTGTCAGAATGGTTCCTGAGTAATGGCTCAAATAGGTACGAATCAGACTTGAAATGCATCAAACCTCTTTTTTGCGTGTCTCTTCGGCCGATAGAACATGTAATCTTTCGGACCCGGGACATTGCGGGTTACCGAGGATGTTTCAAGGTAGATCATCCCACTTCGATGATCCGGAACAGACTGGCGATGCTTTTGTGCTTGTCTCTCTCTAACAAGATCCGTGTCAGTTCAGCGAGGCCAAGCCTACTATTCGCAGCAACGGCGACATTTTCTCCAGGGATAGCGCCGTGGCGATAAGTCAGTGCTCCGAGGGCTACGAGAAGCTCGGACGGCCTGCTTGTCTTGTCCCCAAGGCGTCGTAGAACAAGTTAGGAAGAAGGCCGGTTTTGTCAATGTCGTTGCCAAGAGGCTTGAGATTCTTTCGCGATTTGAATGCAGGGGAGTCAGTATTCATTGCCCTTTCTTTGTTCACAACAAGTCCACGGTTACACCTCACAATCGGAACATGCTATCGGAGACACCGCACCGCGAGACCTCTCCCTTACGTCTCCCAGACTGGTCACTAAGATACTTGTAACTTTCCACGTAGAACAAGTTCCCGGTTTCCCAAGAATCAATGCCATATCTCTCTTGTGCAATTGGCCAAAGAGTCGCAAGAGTATTTACGAACACAAGTCAATCAAGTCTGTCTGCAGACGTCTATCCGTGGCCAGAAGACGCAACAAATCACTTCGGAACGAGTACTTATACTCATAGAGCGTTTGACTTTGATATTTCCTACAGTCGGTTTGATTCCAGTGTAATAGGTCCCTATGTAACTGAGAATCTAACTGCTTTCATTTTGCCCAAGAGAGATTGGGGTAGTTCCTTGCCCGTCTATCTTCAACCTGTTCAGAGCTTGGCATCGGGCAAAGACTACCTTATGCATTTCAAATGCCCTCATCAAACCTTTGTCCGGCCAGAAAAAGTCATGTGTGATGTTCGAGTACCCTTGCCTAAGCCAACATGATTTAAATCCTACCTTGGGGACCTCTCCTCAGAACAACGATCACTCTAGAGTCTAGACTGACTCGAGTCCTTACCGAACATCTTCTGTCTTTCCAAATTCTTGACTTTAATTCCCCCCATCACCAATACCGGCCTTGACACTCATCATGATCTTCCTTTTCTTCCTCACCATACTGAAGATGGCTTTCGGGATTATGGCAGCACCACACGAATCCTCTTCAGCTCTCGACGTCATTCAACCCCCAGCAAAGAAGAAGATACCAGCTAATTTCAAGGCCTCTTGCTCAGACGTTCGCTTCTTCGACCCGAGAGACCTTGTAGATGAAGGCGACAAGAGAAAGGATTCGACCCCCTATCTCATGGCCAAGTGCGGCGATGGCAACGGAGGCCAAAAGTGCTCCTGGATGCCCCTGACCGCCTGTTTCGCAAACGCTCACGGAAAGATCGTCTACCGGAGATAGTAAGGAGTTCCATGTTCCTTTTCTGAAGTTGTTTGGGGGCACGGCAGCCCGTTCGGCTGACTTTTCTCAAAGCGGTGCATTTTTCAAGTCCTGTGCGGATTGCAAGTATGAGAACGTCGGCACAAACATGACATGTGAATGCACGGGTCCCAAGGGATCGGTGAAGTCCGTCGTCAACTTGAGTAAGTCCTCGGTCCCGAATTCCGTCTATTGTTTGCTGGGTCTAGAGCATTCACTCAACCACTGGAGAATTAGATGAGTGGATGGACAATAGAGGAGGCCAGCTTGGCTGCCACAGATTTGGGGGAAATGTAATTGAATGTACCGAGCATGAGATGATGGCAGTCCGTTTTCATACTGCTCCCGATGTCATTCCAGATGAGCCGGAATGGGCTTTCGAAGGCGGTTTATGAGCAAGCATGGGTGAACCTTCGCCCGAGCCATTTATCGAGCTTACATATGTGGAAAATTGGTCGCTCGTTCTTGTCTTTGTTATTTGAAAGGGAGCATGTACGTCGAAGTTATGGGTTTATGTTACGGTAGCTGAAGTCTTAGAGGCCGCGTGGTTCCGGGGATGGTAATATTCATCCAAACATCATTCAATTGTCATACCCGTCCTCATGATTAATGACCTGGAGGTCATCAACCACGTCAATATCACACAAGTCGTCGAACTATGTATAATTGAAGCCCAAAAAGGCCATGCTCATGATCTGCTGAGCGCTGGACGAGATTCACCATGTCGGAGCTTGACTGAGACTCTAGCACATGAAGCTGTCGCCTCCACCACTAGGTCGGTCTTTTGACTGACTTATCCAGAGACCAGAGCTGGCCTACGATAGCGTGCTTTTGCCCCTTGCTATAATATTTGTCGACAAAAAAGAGAATCAATCCCACGATGAAGTGTTTCACAGTACTCCTCGTTGCTACGACTTTGGTAATGGCAGCCCCAACCGACGCCAATGAGTGGAAGAATGACGACAACTTCCTCCACAACTGCGAGTTTGTCAACTTCGGTCTCGGCGACGAAAACCAGAACCCTTGGATTCACCACGCGTGCCCGTTGGACAGGCCGCCTTACATGCAATGATCCCGCCTGGAACTCAACGACTGCATCATCAATGATCACGGAGTCCTACGTGGACAACAAAAGCAAGACACCGAGTAATTACATGCGAGACCTGGAACCTTTTTGAGGCTGATAACGGTGCACAGGGGCGGATTCGCCAAGAGCTGCAAGGACTGCGTATACCATCCCGACGTTGGCAACCTCGTCTGCCGGTGCACATTCGGAAGCCCAACCCAGTTTCGCGAGACCCATGAATACCTTAGTGAGTACAGCCATAAGAGCATAGAGCCATGCTTTGCCGTGCCGATAGTCTGTCTGCTGACATGTTGGTGTAGATGATGACGGGTGGCTTTCTGGCAGCAAATTGGGCTGCTTCGGGATGAGGTCTGGCAGCAAACGGTGAACAAAATTGAGCAGGGCAAGTTACACAAGCGTAGTGCCGATTTGGGAGAATGCATGGAAAGCGGGCAAGGATTCCATGTGGTAGCTTTATCTTGTGGCCATTGTTTATGGTCTTCCCTCCACGGTGAAAGCTCCGCGTGCTCGCTTGGTTGTCCCCATCCGGAGACTTAAGTTGGCAGAAGGTAGAACATAAGGCTCGTAGAATATGATAGCCTTCAATGGAACATCGAAGAGTTAACTTTCGGATTCTGGAGGTCAAGAGAGGCGGGGCAATCTGCCATTGAATCCACACTTAAACTTCCAGACATTGACGCGTCGACGCGTTGACGAGAATCCAAGAAGATTGACCAGGGCTGGGAAATTCTACTAAGCGAGCTGAGGGCACGCCATGCACCTAAACGACCATGGTGAGTGCCCCACTCATGCGGCTACAAAACCCTGATTGCGCCTCTTTCTTTTCCAGCCTTCTTCCATTCCATCCTCATCCGGTTTCCGTTACGAACTCTGCCTCAAGAGCATTTTCGAAGCGATCTCCAGAGCACTCCGTGAGACAGGCGCTTTTTGGCTCGCTTGAACAGGCAACCATGGGTGCGGTTCATCTATACCTCATTCGCCACGGCGAATCCGTCGACAACGTTGCGAACCTCTAGTACGCATTTCCCACACCGCCACAATACCACTTTTTGTGCGCTTGCCAGATTCTAGTCTGGGTCGCAACTTCCTTTTTCGCCTCTTCAGCGAAAATCCAACTTGTTTCCCATTCTAACTAGCAGCGCGCTCTTTGTGGGCGTGGCGCGTGTTTGCAGTGCTGGGTCTCGCGATGCACCTTTGACAAACCATGGCGTCTTGCAAGCCAAGCGCCTGGGTGAACACCTAGCGGCACGAACCGCTGCAGCTCCGGCCCCCATCACGCACGTCTTTTCGTCGAACCTGCAAAGAGCCCACCGCACTGCGATGCTGGTAGCGCCGGTTTCCCCGACCCCCTCGCTTCCAACTGGCGATGCCGATGCCCTGGCATCGTCCTGCAGTGACGTAGGGCGCACAGCCTCGATTGTTGGGGCGATCCCGCTGCAGCTGGCAGAGCTCCGGGAGAAACACTTTGGGACAGGCGAGGGTCAGAGGTTCGGCGCCCGTTCGTCTGGAGACAGACAAGAAGGCGCCGAAGACCACGACTCGATGCGTGTGCGTGCGGAGCGGTTCGTGAACGAGTACCTCGCTCCCCTCTTCGCTTGTATCGAAGGGGAGCGAGATGAAGAGCAAGAGGGCGCCAGCAGCGATACGGAGAGCATCATCATCGTCGCCCATGGCATCATCCTGGGCGTGCTGGCGAGGGTTCTCCTTTCCGCTGGCAACTTTGGATCTCTAGTAACCGGTACGGCGGGTCAGCAGCAGCACTTTTCGTGGAGTAACACCGGCTATCTCTTGATTCACGTCAAGACGATGCCACTGGCAGTTGATGCGAAAGAGTCTGCTACTGGTTCGCGGGGCGGCACGCTGGACGCCAAATGGCCCCACCTCAACCTTGAAATTGTGGAAGTCAACTGCACCGATCACCTTCGCGGGTTGAAAAAGACGCGCGGAGGGATTGGGAGCGCAAAGTTTGACGAGAAGCAGAAGACGCTCAGCGCGTTCTTCAAACCAACTGCATCCAAACGGAAGCACGAGGACAGCTGAATTGAGGAAATCTTGCTGCCTCGTCAGAGTTTTACTCACCCCCTCCTATTTCGGTGGATAACGAAATGGTATGTTTATATTTCTCATTTCGTCATCAACGACATCCTCAATGCGCGCTTTTCATGATGAGGCAAGAATATTCACAGACCTGTACCGAAAGTATACATGTGGAAACAACTTCGTCCAACCGCTGTCTGACATCCAAGCGCAATTCATCTTCATTGTTACTGTATCATTTTTGAGGAGCCTTGGCTAACATCAGAAAGCCTTCACAAAACACTATTCGCCCGAGGCAGAATTTTGAACCACATCAAGTCTCTACAGAGCATATTCTGCCTAGAGCAACACTACCTGAACCACGGCACTGAACTCTCGAAGCCTTGCGGCTTGCCTTTGTCGGTGGCCCTGTGTTCTCGGCAAGCGGCATTCTGGTCTACCAGTCAAGCGCCCCGGAGGCGGGGTCGAAATAAACACATGTCAGAAGCATACTGTCTACAAGCAAAGCAAAACACACGTCAGAAACAAACTGCCTAAAATCAAATACAACACGATATCCTGATGAGTGCTGGAGGGTTCGAACCCCTCATCCCGTGGCCAGGGGGGCCGGTACTCATCAGTCACCTCGGTGGCCTTTCCAACAAGGGCTTCGCCTCAGGGTGTAAATACAAAACTCATTTCACGGGGATAATCATCTTTTTATCCAAGTATTGTTGCTAGACATACTCCGTAGACGCTATAACGAAGGAGAGCGCAGGGACGTCTAGTCTAGAAGTTATTATGACCATAGTTATAATCTCGATTGAGGTACTTCGTAAACCCGCCTCACAGTGTATATCTAGACGTGCCAATTGCGAAACTGCCTTGGAAGTCGCCTCGTGACTTGGGTAACAACAATCTGTGGAAAGGAATCCTAATCTCACCTCAATTGTGAATGCTATGCCAATATCATTCAGTCATTATTCATACAAAACAACACGCACCTATCCTATTCATACCCTATACATTCATACCCTATACATCCATACTCCATTCATCCGTCTCCGTAAAAATCTTGTAAATCCTCTTGCTAACAGCCTTCCCAACCGCTCTGTCAGAAAATCCACCATCCTTGTTCGTACTCTTACGGCAGTTCTCCAGACAAAGCGGCCCTCGCTCCTCAAACGCCTTCACCAGCTCCCCAACAGTCCCAAACTCGGACACGATGCCGTACGCCACAGGCTGCGTGACGCGCACAATCTCCTGCAGCATCCTCACGTAGGTATCCTTGACATCCTCGCCCGTGCGGACCTGCCCAGTCTCCATGCAGAAGCCGGCGCCCGCGGCGTTGGTCGCCTCGCGCTGCTTCCGGTACGGCACCGTTGAAATATGTTGCGTAAAGACGGCGACCCACTGCGCCGTCTCGACGGCCGCGGCAGTGTGGTGGATCAGCACGTCGTACATGACCTGCAGCTGGAGCAGGGCGTCTTCGATCGAGTCTTCGTCAATGTATTCCTGCGGTTGCTGGTTCTTGCGCCGCCGCGGATTAGGAGGAGCGACGCTCGACGAAGCCTGCGCATCTCCTGTCGCGGCATCCTCACCGCGCACGGCGGATGCGAATTGTCGATTCCGGACGTTGCGGTTCTTCCTCATCCAAGGGTTGAGGCCTTCGATCAGATAGATGAGCTGCTCTTGTGGGAAATGGCGCTTCATTTTGGAGACGTGGGCCTCGAGGTCGTTGCCCTCGGGTCCTAGAGCATACGTGACAAACTCTGACGCGGTGACGATGACCAGCGCGAACTTGTCTGGTTGAATGCGCATCGGAATTGGCTCCCAGTGCCCGAGCTCCTCGTTGAACCGACTTGCGACTTTTCTCCTCCACTTGACCACGTTGTCCACAGGGCTCTCCCAGGAAGAGTGTTGTACGTCTAGGTCCTTCAACAACGTCTGTATTTGAAGCGTCATGGCGGCGGGCAGGCTGGCCGGTAAGTCTGCAATCATTTCCGGCGTCGAGACCTTCTTGTCGGTCCTGATCTTGTTGACCTCTGCCAACGCAGCCGCTCGTTCCTTTTCCTTTGCCTTTTGCTCCTTGGCCATCTCTTTCTCTTGCTTCTTGCGTTCCTTTTCGCGTTCGCGTTCCGCCGCTTTTGCCTCCTTTTCTCTCGTCTTGTCTTCCGCGGTTTTTGCAGTCGTTGCGCGGCTGGTATTCAATTTGGAGGTGAATTTCGATGTAGCCGTTGACGTAGCTCGGGAAGCAGGCTTCTTGGTATCCAATCGTGCTTTGAGTTTCGAAACGTCGAAGTTATCAAGGTCTGGAAACTCTCCGTCCGAGTCGGCATCGAAATTGCGGGCTACAGGCTCCGGTTCAGAGTCGCTGAGGTTGATCACAGCACTGGCGGCTTTGGTCATGGTCCTTCGCGGCGGGGGAGGGGAGCTCTCGAACGGATCGCTTCTAGCTTTCAATTCGGGCGCAGAGCTCGAGATGGGGTCCCAATGAGCCTTGCGTCTAGACGGTGAAGCGGCCTTCTCTTTCCTCTTGACTGTGGGCCTAGCTGAAGTTCTAGTGGCTGGAGGCTTCATAGTCTCCGTTGGCGCTCGTTTCGGTGAGCTGGCAAATGGATCGTCATCATCGTCGTCTAAGAGTATTGTACTCGGCTGTGGCACCGCTTTCCGTGCCACGGGGGGTGAAGTCGCAAAAGGATCATCAGAGCTTAAGTTGTAGTTTATACAGCCGGTCCCGGTAGCTGTGGCCTTCGGAAGTGGGGATTCGGATATCGTCGCGGGCTGGGCTGAAGGTGGTAGTGCAGCGAAAGGGTCGTCGGAGTCAAGCCTGTCCACGCCCGCTGAAGTAGCTGGAGCAGTTGTTGTTGGTCGGGAGGAGACACTTGGGGGGCTAGAGACGATTGGGTCCACAACCGAATGGACTTGTCGCAAACTGCCAGCTTGCTTCTGCGGGGGCCGGTAAACCTGATCAGTGGCGGAATGGGAACGATCGAAGGAGGATCTGCGACTGCGTCGGGGAGAAGAGAGTCGTGGTCTTTTGCGTTCTCGCGGTTCGTTGTGCAGCCCATTTCCAAGTGGTAGGCTGCTGTCGAGGTCGATAGTTGTATCAAAGTCGTCTGAGTTGAAGTAGATGGGCGTGTTCACAGGAGCAGCTTCCTCTCGTGTACGTTTTGTCGCTGAGTGTGTTGACGATGGGGATGTCGCTTTTGGCAGTACGGATGGCAGTGGTAAAGATTTCGGGACCATCTCTGGCGATTCGGCTGTCAAGTCAAACACATCTTCGTCGCCGTATGCCAGCGCCGTTGCGACGACTGCAACAGCCGGTGGCGCAGGACAAGATAGTGGGGGTCTTGCGTTCTCAGGAAACCCAGCAGAGGGGCTGCTGGAAAGAAGGTCGATCACTTCGGCGGGCATGGCTCTTGGCGATTCGAGCCGTTTCTCGGTCAGCCTGGAACTATGAGGCGTGGTTATCACGGTGAGAGGCGCCTAGGGCATATCGAGAGTGCGCCATCGACAACATGGATTTCAATGTCATCGACACAATTTCACGGCGCAAAGTCGCGTCTCGCATTACGCAGGTGGGGCACCGGCGCCGATGGTCCTAGCGCGAACTCGTCACGTCAGTCACGTGCCGATGTTTGGGGTGCTTTGTCAGCAATTTCGGTATTCAACTTGGCACTGCTCCCAACATCAAGTGCCAGATCAGACACCAAGTCATCTTCTCCAGATCCTCTCGCCTTCTAGATTCACTAGTCTATTCCTCACATGCCTTCTAGGCTCTAGCAACAGTCAACGATCTCTCACTCAAGAGGACTGTCTAGATCGGGTCTTTGCCCCGAATGCCATCTGATCCCCATCGAATGCAAGACCCAATATCCCACCGGCCCTCTCCCGCACAAGTTTTCAAGCGACGTGGGATTGTTCATGCAGACAACAAGCTTCCAACCTACAGGCTTCTCGAATTCGGTATCGGTACGGAGCATTTCTGCTGCGGAGACTCCGAGCATCTGCTAGATGCGTATGAGGAATCACTGCGACGAGACTGATCCCCCACTCTGGCAGCGCAACACGCAGCATGCAGCACGATGGCAACTTATCATCACGATCCATGATCAAGAGCGAACCCGACTGCGACTCGACGGTCGAAGCCTATGCCTAAATCATGCCACAATCCTCAAAAGACACGCGAACTCGGGCGTACGATTCTGCCAAGAGGTCCGACCGCCAAGGGGTAGTGCGTGCAGGACGGCGGGCCGACGACTTGACAGACTGATCGCCTTGCAGGATTGAACGGCTGAGCGACGGGTCACTGGACTTCTCTTCCCACGTGTGGACGCATGAAACAATGGTCCAGATTCCCTAGTTGGCAGAGCCCCTGGACCGAGCCCTATCTTTACTTGAACAAGCTCCCGTCATGTTGAGAATCGTTCTTGTTCCCTGAGTGGGGATAGGATGCATCTAGTGTCCGTCCGGACAATTTTCTCATCACGGGCGGAGATGGTGTTCCCCCTTACCCGAGCGAATTGGCGATGGGGCAGGATTCCACTTACAGAGGTCTAGTCGCGCGCACGGCCGCCTAGGATGTCAATAGCCGACCCAAAACTTGGAGGTTGTGGTTAAGCAGCAGGGGGGGGTTCTGTCGAGACGATGTGCCAGGCAATGGCAACTCAAACCTCCCCGCTGGTCCAGGCAATGATACTTGCGGCTGGTGAACCCGCAAAGAGCCAAAGGCGCAGTAATGGATGCAAGATGCGTCAGACCTAGCATCTGTGACCCCCCAAGTTATAGTGCTACGACTTCGCCTCTGCTTAATGCAGGAGTTCGTCTATTGTCACTATCTCGGTGACTGATTACGTTCGAGAAGTTTCATGATGGGCTTCTTGCGACCCAACGACACAATAATCCACACAGCTTTCAATCCTAAAGAGGATAAGAGTAGACGTAGAATATTGACTTTGCGGTAGGTGTGCGGTGCAAGGCGCGATACGGACGTAGACTCGCAACATCTTCTAGATTGCATAACTGCAGACTATTGATGCTGCTAACTAGACGGGAGACTTCAACTTGAAGTAGTGGCACAAGCTGGAGCGCAACGTTGCGGTAGCCGGTTGAACAGTTTCAATCTCAGAGAGATGGGGTTTCGTTGTAATTACTGACCTTTCGATGTGACAAAGGCTGTACTTGGACGCTGTCCGAGGAGCAGGTCGCGCAGCTTCTCAGTGAACTATGCTGCTCACCATGCTATGGCTTGAGTGTTGGCTTGGAGCTCAGGTCTTCTGACATATTCCATTGCAGAAGACCCGGCACTGCCAAAACTACCCTTGGAGGCTTTGACATGCTCGTGTCAAATCTTCTAGGTTGACGTTCCCTTCGCATGTCTCAGACACAAGCCCGGAGAACCGCGCATCGCGGGCCCCTCGGGGAGATCGGCCTTGCTTCAATATGGCATGTGATGTCTTCTCTCTTTGCAAAATCTAGACCAGAAGTAGATAGAGCGATTATTTCTCCACACCAGACATCGATTCTAGGTAGGTATCTCAACGGGATTTCCGAGTGGGGCTCGCCCACCGGCTTCGGTCCATGCTCGTAAGAATGTGGTCCGGACAACTCGGCGCGGCCCCGTTAAACCAGAACTAGAAGCGTTTCAAGCCGGCGCCGAAGTGGATCGGTATCCGGAGCGATCCACGGAAAACGTGTTCCACCGGTGGTATCGACATCCCCATCGAGGCATGGCAAAGCTGCCCTCCATAAGAATATTGGGTTTCTCGCTAGCGCTTGTTTACCTAATTAAGTTGCTATTTAGTGATCCGGGTAAAGAGGAAAGTAAACCATAAAGGGGCTAGCCACCAGCTGTAGTTTGGGACGGAAAGCTAGAAGTAACAACTGCGTTGTTGGTCAGCAGGCTCTTTGAGTGCAACCGAGCTTATCCTCACTGTCGACTTTCATTACAGATAAAGTCGCCTAGTAAATTGCGCCCTGTCAAAGGCTGACATAGGAACTATTCGGCGAGAGAACAGTACGCATCTGAAAGATTGAGATGATGTCTGAATGACCCGTCCATCCACGCGCTCCGCGCACAGAACCAGCAGCCTTTCTCTCGGATACAGGGTTCGTTCGGTCTATTCGTCGTCTCTCGTGAAAGTATTTAGCCCCAGGTAATCCCAATTTGGTTGTCAAATCGAGGTTGCCGAATGCTTTACCAGTTAATTATCGGCTGCCGGCCGACGGGTTGGCTTGGCTCTAACACGTCTGCTGCTGTCGATCGTCAAAGCACACCGGGGCGGACGAAAGGGATTTGGGGGAAAATTGTCAACATCAGATGGAAACTACGCCTTACGCCGATAATAACGTCTGCCCTTTCTACACCTTTAATAGTCATATCCCGGAGAGACCGAGTCAGGAGAACCGACACCGAGGTCCTCGCTTCCCACCCTTGCTCTCTGCATGTCTGCGCCTTTGTGCATACAAACAGCATCCTCCTTTTGCAAACTTCGGCTGGCTAAACCATGGAGTGTTTCAACAAAACCGATTTCCGAAACCTTAACCCGATTCATCGCTGTGAACCCCGGTTAAAGAACATTCAAGGGACGAAGCGCGTGCTCTACTTTATAGGATGGGGGCAACCGCACAATCACCTTTCATAGCTTGTCTGCGCTCCACCCGGCTGCTTTTTCATTTTGCTGCCCAATGGCTCCGAACTCCACCAGGCCCGAGATTCTTGGCCGTCCATATATCTGTTGAGCCAGCGTCTCCTACGCCGGGTACGCTATCGAAGGCATTGAAGAGAAGTGGTCATCGCCGATTCCACCAACCCAGGACCCCAAGAAGGGGGATTACGCCCTCTGCATTGCCGAGACGATTCGGCCCGCTCCTCGCCCTGTTCATTCCCACCAACCCTCCAATCCATCATATCCGCAAGCGAGCGAGCGGAAACGCACGATCTAGGAGCAAGGAAACAGAACAACACACACAAAAACCATGGCAGAAAACATCAAGGGCGCCCTGGACCTAACCCGCCAGGAGGCAATGGCCATCGCTGCCCTCGCTACAGCAGGAATCTACAACGCCGTCGAAATCTACGTCCTCATCTTCAGCACCTTCCGCCAGCGCCGCGGCCGCTACTTCTGGAGCATGGTCGTCGCCAACACCGGCATCTTCGTCCACGCCATCGTCTCACTGATCCGCTACCTTCGGCGCGGTGGTACCGTCGTTCCCGGCGCCTTCGCGTTGCTAGCTTGGTGCGCTATGGTAACGGGCCAGTCCGTGGTGCTGTGGTCACGGCTGCATCTTGTCGTGTATAATCGCACGTCGATACGCCTCGTGCTCGCCATGATCGTCGCCAACGGGTGCGCGATACATATTCCCATGGCGGTGTTGTGGGTTTTATGCTGGGCGACGCCGACTGGGGAGCAGGCCGGTTGGGTTGAGAAGTACGGGGTGTATGAAAAGGTGTCAATTGTGGTGTTTACGCTGCAGGAGACGTTCATCACGGGGATCTTTGCGCGGCAAGGGTTTTTCAATCTGAAGCCGCTCTTTGCATTCAAGACGAGGGCGGCCAAGTTGATATCATGGTATCTGCTTGGTCTATTCGTCCTCGTCTTTTTACTGGATGTCGGGCTTATTGTGCTCGAGTACACCAACAACTTTGTGTTCCAGACGACGAGCAAGCCCCTGGTCTACAGCATCAAGCTCAAGGTTGAGTTCACGGTGCTCAACAAGCTGCTCGCCTTCACCAAGATGAACCCGTGCGACTGCCACCACTTGGACGATACGCCGGGCGGCTATACAAAGGGTCTGATCACGCAGGACACTACAGGCACGACCAAGGGCTTGACGCAAGCGCAGAGGGAGATGATGATGCAAGGTGGAGGACCGATGGTGTCGCCCGGACCGGATCGGCCGGATCACATATTCGACGGTACCAGGCCGGTGTCAGTGGAGGAGAGGACGTGATATCGGGGCGGTCGATTCGACCAGAGTAGCATTTATAATCCCCTGAAAACTTTAGAGAAACCACCTACAGCGAGTTCTACAGCGAGTTAGATACCCCCCATTTTGAAGCATTTAGCTATCAGGCTTTACGAAGAGAAATCTAGATGGTAAGAACAAGGTCTTTTTTCATTTATTAACCTCGAGTCTCCTTCAAGTCCAGTTAGTTTACGAGCATTGCCCATCATCTCAATTGAGTAATACCACTCAGTGCTGCGAATTTATTGAGGACTTGTGGTCGGCATGGGTCTCTGGTGTACTATGACTCGCTTCGAACGACTCGACAGCTCTGCAATTAAGGTTGGCGATTGTGTCATTTGCACCAAGCTTTCTTGTTTCTGCTGTCACCGAAGCAAACGCCGACCAAGGCGCACCCATCGTTTTCCCGGGCACTGAACAACAACAGCAACATACGGATACGGAGTGGCATTTCAGGCTTTGTTCATCGTGCTTTTGAATGATAATGCAAGCGAGGCCAGAGTGCCATAACGCTCTTGAGGATAGAGCTCGATACTTGATCCAGGGAGCACGACGGAGTTCGACGTGTGAATGTAACTACGTAGATTGATGGTAATTCAACGTTCATGCTCATAACCAAAGCCTAGCTTTCCTATTCATTTTCGATGAGACGTTTGTGGTCACTGCCCACAGAAAGTCCTTTCCAAACCTACACAGTCGATTCAAAGACTTATGTCTGGCAACATGTGATGATAGCCATCAGTGACAACCCTTATAGCATGAGGCTATTATGAGAACGCTGTACATAATCGGTTATGAGTTCCAGTGCAAGAACGAAACCTATCTTCAGAGATATCACAACTTTCTCAATGGCCAAGTCTTGGGGCTGAAGCGACTGCCGACCATTTGCCAAGACACCGCACTGGACACATGGCGAAGCGCTACTCTTATGCTGTCAGACGGATGCCTTTAGAGTCTTAAAACTGTGCGAGGCTACTTCCAAGACAATCTTATGAATTGAGTACGACCCGGCTCTTTCGATATACATGTCTTTACTATGCAACGTCAAGAGAATTCATGTCGAGACCCTTCGTGAATATCATTGCTAGTCGTTACATCTGGCTAATAGCAGCAACTAAGAGAGAAGCTTGCAATACATATTCTTCATCAGATCAGCGAAATAATTCTATGGGGGCAGTGGGTGCATCTCGGTTTCTCTAGCAGGCATCCAGAAGAAATAGTGAGATAAACTGAATACTTGACGTTGTCTCACGTACATGTTGGACATAAGAACTCAATATGGATTCAATATGTCCACAAGCATTCCAATTCGATTGGTGACTTTACATCGCAAGCGGATTGAGCCATGATCTCGTACACAATATGTCACCAAGTAAGTAAGGCTAGCTAATTAATGCGGCATCTTTCGGATCTCGGATCTCGGATCTCACGGGAAGCATTCAAGACTGTGTGACTGGTCAGTTGAGTGGGTGACCGAGCGCTGAGCATCGCATTACCGAAGCCCACAGCATTTACTCTTTCATTGGGGTTTCTCAGGTCCATCTTGATGTCGTTGAGATCTTCGAGTTCCCAAGACTTATGGTCTTTCCCTCTAGATCATATCCAAGGCTCTTTCACACCTTGTCTGTTATTGATATATAGTAGGATGATATCGTCGATGCCGTCCAAGACATTGTACTCCGTCCATAGCTTTCATTACGACATCTCTATAAGACAGGACTCTCTTTCAAACTCCAGAACCAGGACAAGGCAGTATCTCTCTCTGATAACTCATCTGTACCGCTAGATCAGGCTGATCACCTCCACTTTGCAAGAAACTCTATCCAGAGGCACGACTAGACTTCATTTTTGTTATTTAATGTTCAACGGTTGCAACTAGTCGGCGTCCATACCCAAGACTACCGCAATGTTTACACGTACAGAAGAGAGCAGGGAGACTCGGAAACACTCCTTTGACAAAGGCTGTGGTCGTTGTACGAATGCCATGATATTCTTTTTGAGATAGCTTATCGGAGGGTAGCCTAGAGACCGAATAGTCTGATGCTTAAACCATCAGGCCTGTCTGCACCGAATTAAAAAGACGTGCAAGCTCGACCGAAGGAGGCTTCAAATAGGGATGAACAGCAAATCGAGATCCCGAATCGAACTGGTTGGAAGTTCGACTTGATGAATCATGATACACGGGGGCGTCGACCCTCCTTTGTCAAATGATAGCCTTGGCCTCAAATCAGATATGATGCTAATCCCTGATGGTTCGAGACTCTGATAGACATCATGCTTGGGATTACCGTCCCCGACATGTGGGTAGAAAGATAAATCCCTGAGCATGATGACATGTCAACCCATTTGGAGATTTCGCTACATATATGAGCCGTACCGCAAGAACAGACTTCGTCACGAAGAGTCATAAGCAGAAGGTCAGTGGACACCAATATCGAATCCAGCACCTGCCCCAATAACACCGGGCATGACAAAATACCATCATGTTCCCCGTCATGAGCAAGACAACACGGCATTCTAGGAGACCATTCTAATTTTTGTTGACAAATATATCTGCTGTGAGAATAAGACGGCAACCAAGGCGTCGGCCAGCTCCTTCGCTTATGCAAGAACTGACTCGATACTACTGCAAGTTGCAGATGCTACTGTTCCACAGCCACCGTCGACGTGCTGTCGCTGTACTGCCTAACCGCCGGTCTTGTCAACGACTCGAGCCGGCACCCGAAAAGGCCCCGGAGAATTCGGACGGGTTTGTGTCCTCGTTGTTGCTCAAAGGTCATCCGCGTAAGAAAGGCTCCATCAACGCGCACTTCTTGAGATAGTCGCATGTCACTGCATGCCACACAGAACTTCCAGCACCCGAGACACCCACATGAACGGGCGACTGACTGGAGTCTTCCCGGCTCGGCGAACAGTGGCTCTACGGCCCGTAAAGGCGTGCGGTAATGAACCGGGAAAAGCAGAAATGACACGGAGGCGTCAGTTGGAAACGGCAACGCTAACGACGTGGGCGGCGGCGCATGGTGAAACACGATCTCAGCAAACTGCAGGTTCGTAGATAGAGTCGAAAACGGCACGGCCAAAACATGGCGAGACTCGAAGAGAAACCGGCTGTAAGCCACCATGAACCCTGTTTGCCGTGCGCGAACATGTAGTTAAGAAAAGGGCACGCCAGTTCGTGAGCATCGCCACCCTCGCAACAAGTGGATTTGCGGGCGGAAGGGATGGCTTGTGCTCCAGAAAAGGGTCCTAAGAACGGGGGATATGCAGGTTGGCAGGTTTCCAAGGTTTGTGTGTTCAAGGTCTCCCAAAGTCTTTTGAAAGCCAAACCGATTCTTAGTCTTCCCCGACTAAGATTTCAGGATGTCATCGACTTATGCGATCGGGGATACTTGGCTCTGGTGGAAGCAGATATGCTTTTACGATTTGTAAATGCCGAGACATCGATTGGAGGGGCGGAATCGAATTGCAACGCTTCCGCGATGCAAAGGGTTTTGAATGGCGATAAGAGAATATGCATTATATACCCAAGATAGGGATGAACGCTGGCATAAGCGCTGCGCACGCGGGTTCGTTGTGATAATCAAACATGAGTATCGCAAGGTCCGGGGACGAAGCCTATTGACCTGCGGGGATCGTCTACGCGGAAGTCCCGCGAACCGATGATGGGCATGTTGAGATTCGAGACGTTGGCAGATTTGTGTTCTAGAACCCCCTTCGACATCGAATTCCAGTCGCATCAGTCTAGACAGGGCTGTGACCTGCAGCACGAGAATTGGGCAGAATAAGATTCAGGTGCAACAGCCAAACTAGTGACAGAAAACCAACTCGCAGTGGTGGTGGACTGCCCATCAGTTCAAACTTGGGACTCGTTGATCTGCGATTTGATACGGAGTATGGAGTACCTTTCACAGAGGAGAAACGGCCTGTTTCCCAACTTTTCAAGTCCGAGCCAGAGCGACATGGGATGATAGGATCGGCGAACGAGCAAAGCCCCTATTTCTTGCGTTTGGCCCTGGAGGAATGGAAGAAAAAGATGCGCGCACGGTTGAATGAGAAGGGATTTAAGTTCTGAATGGCTGCAAGTCGCGCTACGGAGGGATGTAAGAATTGCCTGCACGTTTGCCAGCTTTTCGTGGTGGCCTTGCAGTGTCAGTGTCGCTCCTGTGAACAGGGGACGATAGGACGACGATGTCGGTAGGTTGAGACGGCGCGTTGGTACGACGCATAAGGTTTTGGGTGGGATTGGCGGGAGGGACGATCAATGCCTAGAGACGGGAGGTGACTTGGTCGGATCCGGTCTGTTCATCTTGGGGATCCGCAGGTGCCCTCGCGAATGTCTGAGGGCCTTCAGAGGCTCAGAGGGCAGGCTTCGTATATCGTGGAACTGTTGCTGAACGCGTAATGATTCACAAACGTCATGGTGCGGAAGACCAGAGATCCAATCCAGGGAAGCGATGTGAACCACCAGTATGTACCTAGATGTATCCATAGACTGAGACCTCGCATCGGTTGGCTCGGGACGTTGGCCTTGGGGTTCAGAGTCCGCTCCATGGCGTCCATGATTATTGAGCGGGGAGCACTAGAAGGTTTCGACCTGTTAGCCATAGAGGCATGGAATGGCCATGGTGCCGTGTTGTCGTCTTTCTTCCTCACTCCCACCAGTCTCAACTGTGAATCCGGTTCAGCAGCCCATGGGCGTGAAGGTGGCTGTTTTGCGTCCCCTTGGATACGCAGATTGGCTCTATCTCGCGGCAAATTCTTTCTGCTTGATCTAGGTATCTGCCTCTGCAGAATGGGGATACGGCAGTGAACAGAGACGGAAAGCAGATGGGCTGGTGCAAAGCTGTCACGTATCAGAAACCGGCGGGACTAGCTGCGGCAGGCCTCGGCCGGAAGTATATTTTCTGCCGGCCTCTTGGGCAATCAGTTGGATGTGTTCCCATTGGGTGTGCGGTATGATCCTGTTGGCATTAATGACAAGA